AAGGAGACAGCAGCGTTGCTGGTGGTGAGGCCTCAAAAGGCCCGCAACCTCCTCCTCGCCAACGTAGCAGCAGCACTAGCAGCAACAGCAGCGGCAACACCAGCAGCAACAGCAGCAGCAGCAGCAGCAACAGCAGCAGCAGCAGCAGCAGCAGCAGCGAGGTGGGTGAGTTATTAGAGGAGCCGGCTTTTACTGCTTTTCATGGGTGGCAGAAGGGCTGCATTGATTATATTTTCTTCTCCCCTCAAAACCTCCGAGTACACTCAAACCCTAAACCCTAAACCCTAAACCCTAACCGAAAACCCTAAACCCTAAACCCTAAACCCTAAGCTGTAAATGAAGTGAAGGAGATTCCTGATAGAAGTAGACACGCTAAAGAAATAAAGACAAACTGTATCTGCGCGCGTTGCTGCTGCAGTGTGCTGAATGCTGCTGCTGTACACCTTGCTGCTGCCGTTGCTGCTGCTGCTGCTGCTGCTATTGCTGCTGCTGTTCTTTGGAGTTGTTGCTGCTTGCTTCTCTTTCTTTTTTTTAGGTTACTCAGGTGTACGGACTCCCTAACTTCCTCAGTCGAGGGCGAGCTGAGTCTTGCCCCAATGAGGTCAGTCTAGCTGCTGCTGCTGTTGCTGCTGCTGTTGCTGCTGCTGTTGCTGCTGCTGCTGCTGTTGCTGCTGCTGTTGCTGCTGCTGCTGCTGTTGCTGCTGCTGTTGCCGCTGTATACTTTATTGTTGGTGTATACGTTGGTGGTGGTTGAGGTGTTGCTGTTTACGTTGCTGCTGCTGCTGCGTGTGTGTGCCTTGCTTCTGCTGCTGCACCTGCTGCTGCTGCACGTGCTGCTGCTGCTGCTGCTGCTGGGTCTTAACACGCTTAACTGTTGGTGCGGTGCATGCACAGGATGTGTGGGGTGTTGTATAGATTAATTGTGCTGTGTATGAGGAGACAGTTTGTATTATTTTGTTCATCAAGGAGATTAATATATTATTTTTCTGTCTCTTTTTCTGGTGTCTCCGCAGCTCTGGCCTGCCTCTGATCATTTGTCTCTTGTTGCTGATTTAAAACCAATTGAGGTTTTGAACGATAATAAACAAAGAGAGAAGAGACAGGATAAGGAGACACCAGACACCCCACAAGAGACACCAGACACCCCACAAGAGACACCAGACACCCCACAGGAGACACCCCACAAAAAAAAGGAGACAGCAGACACAGAGGAGACAGGAGAAAGGAGACAGATATAACAAGGAAAGAGAGAGCAGAGACAGACATTAGAGAGAGCAGACAAACAAAATAAATAAACAAGAGATAGACAGCACACAGAGACAAAACAGATATCAGCAACAGATAAGAGACAGATAAAAGATAAACAGTAGAGACAGACAGCAGAAACAGGCTTCGGCCCCCAGTAGTAAGGGTACCCTCCAATGCAGGGGCCCCCCGTAGTGGGGCCCCCAAAGGAATAGGGGGGCCTCCAGAATAAGTAGTGGGGCCCCCAAATTAAATAGGGGGCGCCCAAAATACGTAGGGGGCCCCCCCCAGGAATAGAGGGGCCCCCAAAGGAGTAGAGGGGCCCCCAAAGTAATAGGGGGGCCCCCAGTTTGTAGTAGCGGGGCCCTTAAAATGAATAGGGGGGCCCCCACAGGAATAGAGGGGCCCCCAAAAGAATAGGGGAGCCCCACAGGAATAGAGGGGCCCCCAATCTGTAGTAGCGGGGCCCCCAAAGATTAGCGGGGCCCCCAAGAAAGTAGAGGGGCCCCCTAAGTAATAGGGGGGCCCCCAAAGGAATAGGGCGACCCCCAGTTTGTACTAGCGGGCGCCCAAAAGGTAAAGGGGCCCCCAAAATGTTGAATTGAGGGGCCCCCTAAGTAATAGGGGGGCCCCCCAATACAAATAAAGGAGGGGCCCCCAATTAATACTCGAGGGGCCCCCAAGTAAAAGTGAGACCCCTCTTGAGTAATGTAGAGGGGCCCTGTTCTTACGGTTTGATGGGGCCCCTGTACATGGGGGCCCCCCTAAACATTGGGGGCCCCCTATGTATTGGGGGGCCCCCCCAATGAAGTGCAGCAAATTTAACCCTGGGTCGCGTTGCGGTGTATAGGCAGCTTGCTGCGGAGAGACGATGCAGCACCAGCAATAGCAGCAGCAGCAAAAGCGGCAGCAGCAGCAGCAGCAGCAGCAGAAGCAAAAGCGGCAGCAGCAGCAGCAGCAGCAGGAGGAGGCTCTTGGAGCGGTAGTTTGGCTGTCTCCGCTGTTGCTGCATGCATGTGCATGCATGCAGCTAAGCTGAGGCAGCGCTAGCAGGCTGATGAAGGGGTGTCTCCTTTATCTTTGTTTCTGCTACTGCTGCAGCGGGATTTAAACTTTTGTCTCTTTTCTCTTGAATGCAGCTGCAGCTAGGGCTTACGTGCATATACAGCTGGTTCTGCTTTTGCTGCTGCTCTTGCTGCTGCTTCTCTCTCTCTTTCTGCTGCTTCTGCTGCTCTTGCTGATGTTCCTCTTGCTGCTGCTTCTCGTGCTGCTGCTCTTGCTGCTGCTCCTCTTGGCCTTGCTGCTGCTGCATGCTGGAATTTGGCTGAGGTGAAGCTGAAACATTCAGCAGCAGCAGCAGCAGCAGCAGCAGCAGCAAATAGCAGCAAACACAACCGCAGCAGAACAGCAAATGAATAAAAATAATATTAAAGTAGTAAAACAAACAAAAACAAACAGACAAAGCGAAGATAGGGGCCGCTCTACGCTCTGCA